CATAATTATGACCATGTGCTGGATTGCATGATACAAAGTAGAGGCTAGAACATGGAAGACGAGGTTATGGTATTATTTGGTTATGGGGAGGCGAATGCAAGACTGGATCATCCTCATGACATGCCCTGTACTAAGTCTAGCTCAAGGTCCAGACTAATAGCAAAACCAATTATTATTTCAACATCGACCGTCAGATAGCAAAACAGTTGATCTTTTCTTTTTGCTTTATGCAACTAATAAATTGGATCGGGGCACTGACCGTTGAAGGAACTGTCAAATAGCATATGTATGCTCCGTATAGAAATATACTGTACAATAGAACAAGAGAACACCTACAGCGTGCAGATAGATAGGTAAACCGACCACCGGCATTCATATACGTTGCAAGATGCAATGCAGCAACAAAAAGCAAAAAAAAAATTGCGCAAGACAGCAAAGCACGCCAACCCCCAATAAGACCTCGCGATAACACAGCACGCAACCTAGGAATTACCGCAGCTATCGCCCCTAAGAAAAACCACACCCCACGCGCCTAGCAAAGACCAAAGTAGACCTAGACCTAATCACGGAGCCCGCGCCCACGTACTCCGTATGTTGTAGCGAAACCGCAAGCCCAAGCCCGTATTACACAGGGACAGGGATACAAGCGGTGCATAAGATATCCACCCCCAAGACACTACAAAGCCTCCCAAGCGCCCAAACCCCCCAATATTCGATCCTCTCGTAAGACTAAAACTAAAGGGCCAAAAAAGGATGATCCACAATTTTCCCCGTTCTCCGATGCCCACGGCAAGGCATCAAGAATCACCCCCACATCGGTGCGCACGGGTTCGCATTGCGCCCTTACCGTGGCCGAGCTGGTTGACGGTCTCCCCTTTTGTTCTTCCTAGCGTGGTGCAATTGAATGCATCTAGAACAATGGTTTCCCGTTAAGTTTCCCGTTTCCCGTTTAGCGAGAAAGTGGATATGTGACTCTTCTCTTTTTGTTTTTATATTTTTATATTTTTCTGGATCGTGTCTCGCTGTGTGTTTATGTATGGGGTACATTTGCCATTAGGGCGCTACTGTAGGTCCTAACCCTGGCGGGGATTTATTTTGCTAGTGGGAAGGGGGTGAGGCTTTTTATTTTCCTTCTTTCGTGTTCTTTCCCTTGCTTTTTATATTTTTCTACTCCGTATTAGTTTCTTTTTCCATTTCTCCCGTAAATGGGGTATTCGGCCCATTCCGATTCCTTTGGCTTGTGGAGGACATATTGTGGCACACGCTATCTGCAGATAGCTTCCAGGATTGTCACTAGGATGTTAGTAGCTGTAGTACCTATGGGGTAGATATGCCCGTTATTTTTTTACTGACCAGAATGAGGGGGTGGACAGGGGGTATTATGGTTGTTATTGACTCGTGCATTTACTACCACATTAGTACCTGCACGATCCTTGGCGATAGTGCCATCCATATCGCATTACCGTTAGTGTCTTAGATAGTTTGCTATACAAAATGCACAAAGTTCTGACTATTTCTCGGTCTTTCTAGCCGACAGCATATGTATAATTTACAATTATATTTCGTATTCGATGCAATATAGCTGCGCTGTAAGACATAGTAGTACGACATAGTAAAAGCAAAGTGATAGCCAAGCTATAGCTAAACACAAGTCAAGCAAGGAGAAAATACAATCAACCAAGCAACACGCGCTCCCCCCCCCCCCCCCTNACCTTCTTTAGCCTGTAATATCTCTTGATGATGTGCAGCCGACTCGAATGGAGTTACTCAATCATGGCAGGGATCGGAGTAATAATGGCAGGGATAGAGATTAACACCGAGAAGTATCGTAAACAGCTGGGCCAGTCACAAAGGAAGAAACTAGCATCCAAGAAGACGATTGCAGATCCACACGGGATGATCTCTGATTTGGAACAAAAGCAATAAATCACGCTGTTCCAGACCAGTAGGACACCTCCACAGCCCCTTCTAGGTTGACTTAACACGAGAATATTGGAAGATAAACAAAGCTAACCGAAATAAAATACAAGGAACAGTGAAGAAAAAGTCACCCGGCCACCCAAAACAGAACAGCGTAGTCGATCAGACGGCAGATGCCGCGAGTGACCTCATTTTTCTCCACTGTTTCAACTGCAATCTTGATTTTAGGCGGAGTCTCAGAAATAAAACAACAACAATATAAGATAGCTAATATTGAATTAGCCGCAAGATAATCGAAATCGACTCTAGACTCGTTTCGGATCCTCGAGTCCTTTGGGGCTGTTGTGATGATTCTGTCTGAATGTACTCTCCCGGCGCTACGTGAAACACTCAGCCTTGGGTAATGCGAGGGTAATTTATTTATCGTCAGATATGGGAAAGCATGTGTTTTCTCTGTGGGGAATCCATTTGACTAACTTGTTCTAGACTTGGTCTTATCACCTTAGGCGCTAAAAGCCATTTTGCTTGGATTTTGGTTTTTTGGCTTAACCACAGATAGCTGACCTTCGTGTTAGTTATGGATTAGTTATAGACCCTATAAGATAAGCGAACTTGATAAGGTACAATTCATGGAGTACTATCCCGTTACTTGATATGCACTCCGGCCTCCGGAGTGTCGGAGTGTCGGAGCATGGAGAACCTAGGTATGTTGTATGCCGTGCTTACTGTGTAGGGAATTGCTGTTTCATATTACGCGCCTAGGTTGGCCTACAACATGCCATTGTGTTAGCCAATTCAAATGTCTATAGTTAGATTTGGTTGATCGACACTTTAGTCAATGTACTTTTTATATACACTAACTATCAAGGTGTGTGATGGGCAAGTCGATCCCGTACTCCATACTCCGGATAGCATCGGCACCTCTATAAAGATATTCAGCATCACATGCAGGAATTCAATAGCTCACACCACCCCTGTGCATTAAAGGAAACGGAATACTAACAGAAATAATGTGCAATTAAACAACCCTATACCAAAGTACCAACCTCACCCCTTATCTCACAGCCTGGAGTACTCCGTACGGAGTACTCAAGTCCTATAGGTATAATTGACATCCCAAAAAGCAAAACCCTGTCAATAACCCCAAGCCAAGCCCAAGCTCAAACTCAAGCCTAGCTGCAAACCAATAACAACACCTTGTCACCAGCCCAGCACCTAATCCCAAACACGTCGACCAATCCGCACACAGGAGAACCAGCCCATCCCCGCAGAAAGCCCTCAGCCCATCCACGCGCGCCCATGCACCCCAAAAAAGCAAATAGGAAAAAGGGAATGAAAAGGATAAAGGGTCGGGGGTAGAAAAAAAGCAAAGAAAGAAACGGAAATTCCTCTGCCTAGCTTCAGCCACGCCAAGACTAAATCGCCAAGCGGGGAAGGAGATGAATGCGGGGGAATATACATTGACACATTCACATTAATACAACATACAACATATTACAAGACACTCATTACAACTAGAATATGAGGACTTATGGTATTGACGCCGAAAATGACCGCTTTTGAAGCCAGAAACGGGCTGCATTTCCACCCGATCCTATTCTTTGCGAGGAAACTCGAGCCAAACTAGAACATTTTTGTAGTCCTAGTTAGCTTCCTCCAAACTTTAAGCTAAAGACTCTTTTAGCAAAAGTAAGTGTATACTTACATAGACGGTTATAAATTTGCCGATATAGAAGCGAAATATACTGTGCAGTCTGCGCTTCTTACCTCAAGAGCTGGTTGTGGGCCTTGAAATAGCCTGGTGATGGTTCTGTATATCTCTGGCTACTCCAGGTTGATTGTAGTATTATGCTTTTTCTCGGCATATCTGGCCATATATTTCAAGGTCCATTGGTGCAGCTCTGCTTTTAAACAGGTGGCATTGCTTGAAACTGCGGCACTCCATCAAGAGGACATGCCCAGCTCACGCGGCTTCTGACGTACAACTCCACGGCCGGCTTTCTCTCCAAAAGCTCCAGATCATCAAATATCCCTGCTCGAGTAATCACTAGATTATCCCACTCGCCAGACGGGAACTTGTATGCGTAAAGAGGTGTTCCTAAGACCAAATACCATCAGTTCAGTTTAGTTCAGTTCTTCGCGTCTCATCTTTCTTTCTTTTCTTTCTCTCTTCAAGCCAGCTACGCACCGCAATCTGAACAAAAATAATTCTCGATAATATTGCCACTATCTGCTGGTTTTGTGATTTTTTTTTGGATTTCCACTGATATTGATTTCAGCGCTTTTAAAGATGAGGCTGTATGTGTAGAGCGTTCCTGTGAGCTTGCGGCAGTCGGTGCAGTAGCAGAGGCCCTGAACAGAAGACAAGGTGAGTTTCAATCAAGAGAAAGAACAAGTGATTGGGTTTGTAAGGAGAGTCGAGGATAGACTGACCGTTGCAATCGGCTCTCCGGTAGACTCAATCCGAATCTTTCCGCAGAAGCAAACGCCAATGGCCATTTTGGATTACGGATTGGGAAATGAAATGGTATTATGTTGTGGGATGCAATGGGAGAGTCTCCTGATGAAGAAGCTTTATTCCTTCCACGAGGATATCATCAATATATACGAGGGTCATAAATCACGCTCACTCTCACGGGCGCAACTGTTGGGGAGGGGGCTGGTCTCTCCAAATTTGGGGATCAGAAATCAAACACAGTTTGTAATCATAGTTGATACATCCATGGATAATACAAACTCCAGGCTCCGGAGAATTTACAAGCTGCACTAGGTCAACCCGGAACTCCTGGGTCAACCCGGACCTCCGGTCCATAGACCTGACAATCACTAAGAAATCAGACACAAGACACCTACCTATGATGTATGTCCACTATCAATTGCTTGGTACGTTTGATTTCCCGAGAATGAATCTCTTCAGGCTTATCAAGCTCGGATGAATACATTGTATCTAGAAAATAATATTAATAGATACATCTCGCAGGGAAATAGAGCATTATTTTGAGCACCATCACTCTTATAAGCACACCTCAGGACAATCTTCGTTTGCACAGCATCCACACAAGCAACTCCTTCAAGCAGCCATGGCCTCCCAAGACTCCTACGCCCTCAAGGTTGGCGAGCGTATCCTTGTCACCGGCGCAAATGGCTTCATCGGCTCCCATATTGTTGATGTCCTATTATCTCTAGGATATATTGTCCGTGGTACCGTTCGCTCTGAGAAGCCATGGCTTAATGAGCTGTTTGAGTCTAAGTATGGAGCTGGGAAATTTGAAACAGTCAATCTTCCAACCCTGGATGACAAGGACGCTCTAGTTGCAGCCTTGGATAGTGTCAGTGGTATTGTCCATGTGGTATGTGAAATTGATCATCCCTCTGGCTGTTGTGAGGTTCTAACTTTAGAAATACAGGCCTCGGATACATCTTTCGGCCCCGACCCTAACATTATTAATTACGTCGTGGCCGCCACAGAGGCTGTTCTCGAAGCTGCTGCTCAAGTACCATCAATCAAGAGGGTTGTTCTTACCTCTTCCTCTGTTTCAGCCGTGGCTCGCTACCCAGGCGAGGGCAGCATTGAACTGACTCAAGGTAAGCTCTGTCTCTTCTTCCTGAATGGATGTTGCAGTATAGCTAAAGTACATAGATACATGGAACGAGACCGCTATTCAGGCAGCGTGGGACAAGAACACTCCTGCAGAGGCCAAGGGCTTCCTTGTTTACGTCGCATCCAAGGCTGAAGGCGAACGCGCTGCTTATAACTGGGTTAAGAAGAATAACCCTTCATTTACTTTCAACTCCGTGCTCCCAGATTTCACAGTAAGCATATATATTCTATCTACTATGACATAATCATCTAACGTCTATACAGATGGGAGAGATTCTGCATAAGAATATTGGCTCGACTGGAGCTCTGACTCTCCAACTATTGGAAGGAAATGACATGCTTATTAATGCAGTTGTTTCCCGTAAGTACCTCCTCTCTTCACCTTTTTTTTCCTGTTAGCAACGAGGCAGCATTCATTTATTCTAAACTATCTATCTGCTGAAGATACTAATCCTCTTAACAGAGTACTATGTCGACGTCAAAGATCTCGCTCGCCTCCATGCAATTGCCCTGCTCGACCCCAGTGTCAAGTCTGAGCGCATCTTCGGGCTAGCTGCACCGCTTATTTGGAAGGAAGTTATTGATTGCCTCCGCGAGCTTCGCCCAGCATCCAGCGAGAAACTTGTCAAGAATCCCCCAGGTGCGCGTGAGGGTTATGTCAATATTGTGGCGCCAACCAGGTCCAAGGAGTTGCTTGACTCGTTCTTCGGTCAGGCTGATTGGACTAGTTTGAAGGAATCTTTATATGCTGGCATCACTAGCGCGGGGCTTTAGGAAGATTGGAAGTATGGCTTCTGAATGGTCATGCTTAGAGTAGACGTTGCTTCAATATAGTTACTTATTATGGATAAGTCAAACTCTTTAACTCGTAACCTGCCATATTCTCTGACTATAGGGACCTTGGTTGTTCTTTGGATATGTATATACTATAATAGGCCGAACAGTAGCAGAGTTGTGCCGAGATCCGAAAAATGGAACTACGTGGATATGGAAGAGTTAGTTGGCATGAAACTCGGGGTTGTGTCGCTAAATATAAAATGGTAAAACTAACTGGCTACAGTAATTCACAGGTCTGCCGTTTATAGCTAGAATATGAGGACCTGGGGAATTGACGCCGAAAGTGACCGCTTTTAAGGCTAGAAACGGCCGCCTTTCTACCCGTAACTTTGGCCGTCCAGCCGCCCCCTGACCGTCCACTACCCTATAACACCACTGTAGCTGAATTGAACATGCTGTTTACATTAATCTTGAAGAGGAAAGGAATCTATCTGACCGCTAGGGTTCGTATGTCTGTGGGAACGTGCCTCACGTGATTTAGGCCGGGCTTCGGCCCGTTACAAACAACCGCAGTAGTCTTGTCACCTGGCCAGAATGAATATACCCTACCTCACCGGAACAAAAATCTACCCTAAATTCAATTATGTCTTTCTACCCCCAAGGCTGGACCCATGACCGGCTCCTCAACGCTAGCGGAAAAGACCTTATGGCCCTCTCAGATACCCAACGCACCACTCTCTTCGACGGTCTGAAAGCCACTCACGGCGAAGATGGTTTCCGCGAAATCATGCAGGAAATGAGTCGCCGTTACCGGGCCCGAGTTGAGGCCGCCAAGTCAGAGGAAACCAAACAGCAAGAGCGGGAGCTCCTCGCACCCTTTATCCAGACCCTAAATTCTGTCTTCCGAAGCCCAGAGCCTGAGGACTGGGGGAAATGGGGATTTGTGGTGTTTCGGACGACTCCTTATGGGGGTGAGCATGAGACTCAGTGGGCGGAGTTTCGAAGACGGTGGGATACGGTGATCGAGGAGGGATTGGCCCCATATCGGGGCTCGTTAACGAAGGTAGACCGGGCGATTGATTTGTTAGAGTTTCAGTGGGTGGAACAGCCCGAATTGGAGGGTGTAGATGCAGCGGAGGTAGCAAGGTAGGTCTCTTTGATTCTTGATTCTCGATTCCTATCTTCACTAGACTAATATATCATACAAAGACGCTTCAATGAAATGGCCCTACCACAGGGACTCGCCACTTCCGCTTGTCTAATGGTAACACCAGCTTCTATGGAGTCTGTTCTCTCTTCGCCACTTCCTTCTTCCGCGCCGCGCCGTAAACGCCAAAAGATTCCCTTTATTGTTTCGGTATCCCAGGGAATGAGTGCCCCGCGTCTTCCAGCTTTGCTAGGCCTAGGTGATGAGGATATAGCCGGGGCTGAATTCAAGGGGTATCTTAATGTGGCTGTAGAGACTGCTTTACAAGAGTTTTACCCGATTGTCGCGTTGCAGATGATGGATCTGCATACACTAACGACAAAATTCCGTCATGAGAATGATATCTGGTGTTCGAGTGATCGGTGGGGGGTGCACCATTACGAGGAATTGTAAGTTATGGCATTAGTTCATGATGGCAGATAATTGGTGATTGGAGCGTAGGATCATGTATACCGCACGGGGTACAACAAGCTCCCTGATGACGGTGCTCAGCCTGCCGTTGCGGACGAGCACATTGCCAACCTTGCGGTATAATTCGCCCACCATAATGCTGAGAAGGTCTTAGGGATTCATTTAATCCACGGCCATTTTGAGATCCACAAAAATACCGTCATGATCGGCACCAACTTGGGGAATTCAGCCCTTCTGTAGACCAAGACCACGAATATTGACGAGATCAATCCCCTGAATGTTCATGGAAACATTTTTACACTCGCTAGGAATCAGCTCTGCCCTTACGAATTCTAAGATAGGCCTCTCCCCAACTTATCTAAGGTTAGCTAAGGTTTCCTCACTGATTTCCTTGAAAACATTGCCAAAAACAATCTTCAGAATATTATCGGTAGCGTTTCGATATTCTTAAGGACTGGTAATCAAGATGTATTGTCTCCTTGCATTCTATCGGCTGTGTTGAAGAGGAGGGGCTTTGCTCTAGAAGCGAGTGGACTTCGTGGGACCTTCGTCTAGATATGTTGTGATGCTGGTGATATTCTCCGTTGTTTGGACCTACTTAGCGAGGAAGATACCGACCGGCTATTTTAATCCATACATCTGGTCTCCTTTTATGAGGTGATTGCCTGACTATAGGCGGAATTGAGCTTTTGTGAAGCATCGCTGAAGACATGCGAGACTACGCGATTTTCGCCATTGGCTGGTGCCACCGCGATATTACCCAAAGACATCTACTCCGTACGCCGTGTAAGATAGGCTAGAGAAATCGACGATGACCACAATTTCGTACGCTTCACTTCGGCCCTATCCGAGGTTGTATTACATAGCCCCTAGCGGTAGGAGTCTACACATTTATACATTACACATTACTGCATCAGCCTATGAACCCACCGCTGCTATTTTCTGACTGGTTGCCCTGTCTGGGATCTGAATCGCGCTGCAAGCTGTACCGAAAGTAGTTCCCACCCCCGGGCGAGGTTGGTGGTTATCCTCTTAGATGGAAGATGTTGGGTATGTATTGGGATCATGGATCTAACGGGTCTGCGGGGTGTTCCTAGGTCTTGGCTGTGTGGTTGGGTGGCTGGTGCATATCCGTCTTCGCTCCTATTCACTGGTATTCACTGCGCATGCAGGTGCAGTCTGTGGGTGTCATTGGTGAGAATATAAAATACGTTTAGAACAAAGGTCTTACAATATGGCTAACCGACCTAACCGGATTCGTAAAAGGTGGGTATACATGGTCATTTGTTCTTGGCGTCTGCATGAGATGTATGCTTCATTGGTGGGCTTTGACTGCGCCATAATGTAACGACTTTCTCTGCGGGTGGATGTCGATTGTTATTGGCTATAGCTAAAGTACGGGGGTGAGCGGGATGGGGGATATATATCCCTGACTGTGCGGGAAAGGGTTTGCTCATTGGGTCATGAGGTTGATGATCTGTGGTGTTTATGCTTGAGGGCAAGGGATAACCAGTTTTTATGATACTTTGGACATGATAATTTAGAGTTCATTTCTGTTTCTGCAGAGTCTGGGGATGATGATCAATGATCGACGGAGGGGGGGGGGGGGGAACAACCNTTGGTAATTGGAATCATATGATGGTTATCGACACATTCTTTGCTAGGCTCAAGATGGAGATGCCGGAGAGTGAGGTTGCTTTGCCTTTACATCTCCTATGCACATATTCTGCACTGCTAGGTTGGGCAAGGGTTGTCGTCGAGACATACTACTTTGGGCATGTAACAGAGGGTTGTCATATCCCCGCTGGACTACTCCACTCCCGTTAAGAAGGTTCTAAAGTTACTCTGTTAGGTGACCTACGTCATGCTATGACATGCCACGGCCTGGTGATCCTTGCATTAGCGTGTCATGTAGATGTGCAGAATGGTCACGGAGTAGTGTGGCTGCACACAATGTTGTCTGTTGGATATCAGCCGAAAGCTTGTGATTGTCAGAGCGTGCACAGAAGTGGCGAATTGAACATGTCGCCATGGGACCAATTGTATTGAAAGGACTATGATACTACTGCGGAATATACATGTTTGGGGGAGGAGAAGGCTGGGGATTCTATACTACTTCACTTGTTCGGACTATTGCTCGACTTCGGATATGTTCCTATTCTCTACCTGGTTTTTGTATGACTATATCTTTTTCTAAATTTAGCAATTGATAATCTCTTCTAGACACTTGATCACTTCTCGCTGTTCTAGAGAAACATATCCCTCGACTCTGGTTATGATATGACCAAGAGGATTTGGGATGTTGATTTACCACAGAAATCCACAGAAGAACGTTTTCTTGTCTAGGATGTCTGTAGAACAGATGGAAATGGAAATGATAAGAGAATATAAACTGATCTGATTTCTTAAGCCGTGTGGCATATCCTCCACTAGACTAACGAGTACAAAGCAAACGATACTACCCAACAACTAGTTATATATTCTTAGGTTTGAGCAAGAACAGAGGATATAAAAATGCAACAGCTCTTATTACAGGAATTATTTATATACGCCGTACGAATAACTGCGGAAGACTTGTAAGAACAAACCAAATGAAAAAAAGAAGAATGCTATCTTATGCCTACCAGTAACAAAAACTCGCTTCTGAAACAGAGCAAGAAAAGACAAAAAAAACAAAAGACGATTATAGACATGGACAATAGATCTTTGGAACAATCAAAAGGGCAGCGCACGCGGTTGATGGGAAAGGGCAACGGGAAAGGGACGGGGATATATGCAACATGCTCTTCCTCCAGGTTCTGCATGCAATAATGAAGACCACGTAGTGGAAAGGATTTTTTTCTCCCGGATGCACACAGGATGGAAGGAAATGACAAGAATGACAGGACCATGGTAGACGGACCGGGGAAATAAAGCACCCAAATAAAAACGAGAGTTGTCTGGTGTGCTTGTCCAGTTGATGAACGGGACGAAACGAGACCGAGAGATGTATACCAGACACGGACAAGCATGGCCCAAGATCAATCGATTCTGATTGTCATCTCTCGCAACTCGGTTCATCTTCAGGGCGGATTTGTGTCATTAAGCCTTGCCAATTCTTGTGCGGGGGTTGAAGCCATTGATCAAGTTGTTTGTCTCCTGAGCCAGCGCAAGAAACAATGTCCCAGGGCGGCGCGCCGCGAATCAATGGCATCGGAGGGTCAACCGATAAGTACCTGCCCGTTTGAAAGACCAATGGTTGATATTAAACGGTGCACGCCGGATATAGTGACGAGACGAGGAAGCGAAATCGAAAACACAAGACAAAACTCTCACAAGTTCGCCGTTTCGAGTCGTAGCACCATGAAAGAGTGATGAGATGTAACATCAATGAGAGAAA